TCAAGTTGATTCTATTTCGCCTCTTTCTCATAAGACTTGGTTTGTAATCTTATATAACTAAGTTTTTTGAGAGTGAGGCAAATCTTTAATTTCGTAGTGTGAGAATTGTGATCCTCTAACACTACTTATGGACTAGTGCTATTTGTAACATTTATATTGTTACTTATTATTCCACTTAGCTGCTTAGGTGTCACTCGCCTATGGTAGCTTTGACTTGATCCGGATTGTGTTAGTTTTGTTTTTATTGTGATGATTGGATTGAGATCAAGGGCTAAGATTTATTCCTTGGTTGAGATATTTTCTTGGCTTGACCTTTGGTCTTCTATTATTCACGCGGGTTTTCCTTCCTTGAGACTCTTCCTTCCTTATCTCTCATTCGGTCCTGTCTCTGCATCTTTGTTGAGGCTGGTTTCTTCCACCTCCTGCTGTGGCCCCTGAAATCGATCCTTTAGCCTTTGATTGGAGGAACTCTTGTGTATACTTAGCCCTGAAATAGTGGCTAGGTGGTGTTGTGTTTTCTCGAGGGCTTAGTGGTGATTTAGGGGTGAATCTTGGCTGATTTTGGTAGATCCTTGGATCGATGATCCAAGCCAAGTGAGGAGAGGTTCTGGCCAGTTCTTGTGCTCTCTCTGGATGGCGATTTGCAAAGCATGGAGGCTGTTCCTGAGCCTGTGACTTTCGGCCAGAAAACAGGGAAGACTGTCTCTTTTTATGTTTCTAAGATTTCAGTTCCTACGTTCTTTGTATATTCTGCAAATGTTATTGTAGGTTGTTTTAGAGCCATTGAACTCTATTAATTGTTAATGTATGCTGGTTTTGAGCTATTGAACTCTGTTAATTCCTAACACGTAGATATGATATTTACCAAAAATCTCAAATCTGAGGCATTTTAGCAGGTTCCATATATGATACTATCTAGAAGCAAGTGCTTTTGGATTTCTTTCCTTGTAACTTTATGAAGAGAGGACATGAAATTAGAAATTATACATAATATTTCCGTATCCGCCAAACTAGGATGGATAAGCCACATAAGTTCTATTATAGATTTGAAAGTCCAGATCTAAAACTAAAATGAGAAGATAGAAGCACGACATGAACGTAGATGCATCACTTCAAAATTAAAAAAACCCCCATAAGAAAACATATCAGGGAAAGAAAGATCATTGTAGAGTTGTAGACAGGTTTTCATTTTTTATTCAAGATTTGCCTCGTGGTTGTGCGAAACCAAACAGACAAAAGAGGGATACAAGTCTTAAATAGAGAGAAATAATATGGATTCTTGTGTGTGTGCTGCATACGGGACACACTCGATCAATCACAAAGTAAAATCACCTAATCATGAACACGTGAATGGCAAATGCAGTATTCATGTCTAGTTTATCAGTTTTTAAATGTAAAATTTTCAGTTTTCTCCACAACCTTTTGAAATCTATCCTATTATGTCCGATTCTTAAAAGTGCCTAGCATGTGTCAAGGTTATCTCCATGTCCCAGACACCAATACATCAGTGCCAGTAGTGATATCCTCATTTTCACATTATATAAACAAAGATAAGAAACTACATTATTACCAAGGACATCCTCCTAAATGATTAGTTACTGGAGTACTGCTGCTCAGGGCCCTTGGCAATGGAGAAACCCTGCTGGGGGAATCTAATTGCCTAGGGAAATTGGAAAAGAACTTGCACTTCACACAAGAAGAGATAGATTTCTTTGTATATAAAGTTTTTATTTTATATGACAACATCGCATGCTAGCAAGGAAGTTTGTATATAAAGTTTTTATTTTATTTGACAACATCACATGCTAGCAAGGAAGCTAGCCCCATTCCTTCAAGAAGACCGGTACCTATGCATTTAAATTTTTTTATGGTGATGATACAGCTTTGATTCCAAAATTCTTTTATCAACATAAATAATCATCACAAATTATAACCTATCATTTTTCATTCAGAGATTTCAACTACAAAGATATTTGCCACTTCCTTAATGTGCTATCAATTGTTGAAGTGAGAATAGAAATCCTATTCACTTGTCATGATTTTCTTGAAGGTTACTGAGATGAACATGCTTTACATGAAAATCAAAATTTTAAAGAATGCTGAACTTCACAAGTTATCAGGCTATGCAAGAAAATAAAAATAAATAACTGTAGAGGCTCTATTAAAGAATCTAAAATGAAAGCGTAGAGATTATATATATTTCCAAAATGATTTCACCAGTTCATTTCCTGTTGAAGATAGTACCTTGAAGCTACACGAACATTATACTCCTTGCCAGGGTGATAAAATTCTGCAAGACCCCAGTCTATCAAGCGAAGCTTTCGTAACTCGTGGTCTATCATAACATTATGAGGCTTGACATCTCTGTGCATTATTCCTTGTGAGTGACAGTAATCTAATGCCTGGAACAGGATAAAGCAAAATTCAGCTTTCTTTTATCATGCAAAATGTACAAATGTAAATGAATTGGCCAATCAACATATTCGAGATAACTCAATTCTTATTCAGGCTTATATTTGATAATAAATGAAGTTGTCATATAAACTAGGAGCTCATCACAAAGTCCTTTATAGGGATCACGAATGTTGGGTGCCAGCACAATTACTTCTTTCCAAACTTGAACCCACTCACAAGTATGTGAAGAATTCCACAATCAGATTTATGAAATTTGTGTATTTATAAAGCAATTTGTAATTGTATAAACAGAAGTATGGCCGTATTATTTAACGAAATTGTGTTGTAAAAAACAAAGTGGAATGACTGAATGAAATTGAAGTTGAGTACTGATACAAATTGGAATTAAATAATTAATGTTAAGCTTTCCAGAGGCTCAACTCTCTCACAGTTTGAAACCTGCTTAACTGATCACACTTCCTAACCCCTTATTTATGATGACTATACAATTTATTCTACTGAACCCTCATAATTCCCTCAATACAAATTGGACTGGTGTTCGCTGCCTATGCACACCCAGCATCAACTGTATCCACTGCATCAACATTTGTTCAGCCCCATCGACCTTTATTTTTCTAGCTTTTTTTGCCTCGCCTTGCATATGTGGTGCAATTAAGGGGTCTATCAGTATGCTTCCTCTCAAACTCTATTAGGTATGCTGCAGAGTTTTAATCTTATATCTCAAAACCCCCATTTATTTTTGTGAATGCACAGAGGTTTTTGAAAATCACCTAAATAAGTAATATCCCTCCGTTATGGATGATATTCAAAAAAACTGATTGTCCTTTACACTTTTACTTCTCAAGTATGGAAGTAGCTTAACATTGCCCAATAATTCGAAGAGTAATGTCTAGATGACATTTAAGTGTCATTCATTCATATGCCATCTTAAATGAGACTCATTTCCTTACATTTAGCCCCTGTTTGACAACCATTATTTCAAAACTCTTTTTTCTACAAACTAATTTTCAACCACAAATTTATACAATAAAATATTCTGCACGTAAACCCAAAATTTTTCCTCACTTTTTAATCACACATTCTAAAAAAAAACCACTATTCAAAACTCTATTTCACCCAAATAATGGTTGTCAAACAGTGGCTTAACATGACATATCAATAAATGTCACACAGAGTGATGATGATCACCGGTCTAGATATTCTAATTTGTATTCATATATTTGATCCGATGACAAACAGAAACTCATTTAAAGACTTCGTCCTATAAAAGCAAGAATTAATATATGTCCATATGAGATAAGAGGAGTTTGACTAGGCACGACTGTCAGATTGAATTATAATTCCACTGACCTTGAGAAGCTCATATATGTAGTAGCGTATGTCATAGTCCGTCAATGTAGGATACAGAATTTTGAAATCTGTACTGTTCACATATTCAAATAGCAAGCTGGGAGTTTTCGAGTGCTGATCTCTAACGATATCAAGGAGCTTGACAATATTGGGACCCCCACAAAGGTTCTGCAGTATTTTGATTTCTCTTTTTATCTAAACAGGATGACCAAAAATAAAATAAGAAAATCTGCTCAAAATTGAACAATTCAAATTTGGAAGTTAGGGAGCAGCGTGCATGAGCAATAAAGTCATAGTACATTCAATTGGACATCTATTAAATTACTATGTTAGATTTTCAGCATCTATTGTTTATCATCAATAGCCTTTAATTGCTGCAGACAATTGTCTAAGCAGTCAATGCAGAAAAATGCTTTACAGGAATCACACTGCTTTAATAGCCTTCTAAGTTGTTGAAACGGCCAGCATTGATCCAACAAGATAAAGGAACATTTATCATTTGAGGAACCAATATTTAAATTTTAACCAACTATTGTAAAAAAGTACTGTCCATAAATAGCGACATTTGAGGATAGTCCCAGTATGTTGAGGACTGATATTAAAAAAAATTATTACCTTTTTCTTCTTGACAGGTTTCAGAATCTTGATTATGCACTTCTCATTGCTGTTGACATTTATACCTTCAAAAACCTCACTGTATTTTCCCCTTCCAACTTTTCGGACTACCTCGTAATCATCTTGGTCTCTGAAAAAATTGTTCAAAGAAAGTCCTCTTGAGAATCAGTAAACCCAGCTCAAACCAGGCATGCAACACAATCAAGCTTGCTAATGTAGACACCGAATCCCTCAAGTCTTACTATATGATATTCTTTATCTTGTAAAACCTAAAGAAAATTTTTAATATAGAAAAAGTTGTAGACTGTTTTTAAAGATTTATAATTCACATCCTACAATAGCTTATTTACAGCTTGAAGATTACTTCTAATGGTATTTTTATTGTGCTCCAACCTCTTTACCACTTAGAGAATCGTTAAATATAAATAAACGGGAAATGAAAGTGCTATAAGTTAATTGAGTTTATAGTTTAAACAAGAGATAAGAGGGTGATTATAAATTTATAGTATGGAACTGAAATAAATTACAGGATATATGAAGTTCTATACAATGGCGTAATCATTTTTCTTTTAGATTCACAATTGTTTCCATACTCCTTTTCTTCTAGGACTACTCTTTTCACTCATATATGAATAAAATAATTGCCATGAATAAATATAAGATTTTCATGCATAGCTTAGTATCAATTTTGAAAATGTTAAAGAGACCCACAATAACTCAGCTATGCGTGAATTCAATATCAATAAAAAAAAATGAAGAAAATAGCAGACCATAAATTGCCCTATTACGATTATAGATCTTTCAGTTGTTGCTAAAATCTAATTCCGGATTAAAATAAGTCTTTCTAAACAAGCTCCAATTACCAATTTTTTCAGAAACCAATAATTTACCATCGAAAAATTACACATTTCTTGTCCTAAAGTATAATCAAATCAAATTTATCACAATCGCAATCAACCTAGTAATTGACAGTAATGAGGATTGCTCACCCCCACTGGACAGTGAGATTTTCGTAATCCCAATATTCTCTGGGACGCAATACATTCACATCAGGGTAGACTCGGGCTTTCGACATTCCAGAGCCGTAGATCTCCGACGTTACGGTGCCGTTGATCTTATTAATACGCACAGATGCAGAAGGGGAGCGCAGGTTAGGAGGCTGAGCAACCGGCACTCGCAGAGCGACGATGGCGCACACCAGCGAGATACGGAGTAACAGCGAGGAATCGTGCGCCAGGGGAGTACTTCACTACCAGACGAGTAGTACTAATTATTATGATTATTTGAATTGTATTAACAAAATTTTATTGAATTCAACTGTCAACAGAACATACACTGTATGGTCGTTGGCAAGTGGGTATATAAAATTTTGCTTATTCATTTTTAGTTCCTTAAATGTTTGTTCAAATTTAACTCTAGATTCTCAAATTCATTTTTAATCACAAAACAAGCAATTTTTATCAAATTTTCAATTATTTATTTTTATTAAATTTATAAAAATATAATTTTTATCTGAATCAAACAAGTTTTAAAGAGGTAGAAGATCTTATTATATTGTAAAGTATCACGCAGTCAAAATGCGTGCAGTAATTTAGGCCCTATTTGGGAGGGATTAGATTTTTCTACAGTAAATCAATTCTCATTTTCAACCACACATTTTTCAATAAAATAATATTTTCCATCACATCAATAATTTTTTTTTCTTTTTTAACCACACATTTCCCATCATATCACCATTCAAAAAGGATTCTCAAAATTTTACAGTAAATTAATTATCATTTTCAACCACACATTCTTCAATAAAATAACATTTTTCATCACATTAATAATTTTTTCTTCTTTTTCAACCACACATTTCCCATCATATTACTATTCAAAATTAATTCTTCTCCCAAAAATCTCTCTCAAACAAACTCTTAATTATTAGTTGATGATGGGTTGACCGGATAAATTGACAAATTGAATGAGATTTGATGCAATTAAGCCCCGATTGATCATTATTTTCAAAATACATTTTTCTATCTCTTTTTCAACAACACCTTCTTCATTAAAATAATATTGTACGCAAATCCAAATATTTTTCCTTATTTTTTAACCGCATATTCTTCTTCAATCTTCCAAAATACATTTTTAGCCAAAAATTGAGGCTCAAACAGACGCTAATTATAAAAAAATATATATAAAAATTGATGTATCTTTTCCTCCTTATTTATCTTATACTTGTACACTGCAACTCCTAGTTCTAAGATATCTTCTATATATTAAAAGTGGCTATGTAACGGAATTTCTTGTTTTAAATAGGCAGCTGCACCTTCCTTTAGTGTTTTTATCATAACTTTGTATTCCGATATCCGATTGAGGCGATTCAAAATGCGTTGGAAAGTTAACTCATCTGACTACAACTTTGATTCAGACATCATTCTCCAATTCGATCACTTTCTATGCCAAAAATAGGTCTCAATATGAGACTAAAATATCGGAGCATAACTTTTCGGTTGGAAATTGATTTGTGATCATCTTTTGACTAAATTTGATTCCATTGACGTCTTCCTTTATCCAATTGACTCCGAGCACTCTCAAATCTTCATCGTGAGGTTCGGCACAACTTTTAAGTATTTACATTTTAGTCCCCGAACTTTGGATCCCTTACAATTTAGCCATTTCTCCAAATTTGTCAACTTTTGCTTTCTTTCTTCGATCTCACCAACTTACATCACAACATCAAAATCACACATCTAATTATTTATCAATTACATAAACATTACATCATTAATTATTTAATTAACCAAAAAAATTACATCTTTATTAATAACAAATTAATTCTTAAACAAAACTATTAAATATAAACTAGGCAAACGTGCATTGCACGTTGCTTGCACCTAATAGGTAGAAATACAGCAATCAAGATTATGTATATACCGCATTCTCAGCTTAGCAATTGACCTCTAATAAGTAATATGTCTAAAACTGCAGATTGTTGAATTATATAACCTATATTCAACATAAAGATAATCTGTACATTGCTCCCTTCATCATACAGAGATGGAACATCTCAACCAAAAAGAATACATTAAATTGCATGCAGGTCAAACGGTCAATGTCTAGTATATTCAGTTCTTCATACCGCCTTAGGCTGGATCTGCTCGAAGTCAAAAACCTCGAACATGAGGCGTCTTACATCTGGCTTCCCGTATACAGCATACGCAAGCCCATGAATGGCTTGTTGAACAGAGGTTGTAGCTGGATTTCGCAGCCTTCTATTATGTTCATAGGAATCCTGTACCTCCTCGCTGTAAATAATGAAGCGATGGAGATATTTCTCCCTCAAGTACCTGCCACAGAACTTGTTCATCAGAAGTCGGCGGTGCTTTTCCTGCAACCATCTTCCCGGAGCATCTAGATGCTTCATTAGCAACCTCTCTGCTAATACAAGATCCTGCAAAATATATGGAATATACAGTTATAGTTAACCTATTGATGCCAAGATTTGATATTGTTGAACCAGCTCATCTAGTTGCTTGAGCTGTTAGTAAGGGAATACGTTTGATTAATTTTTGTCTTCAACATGCCCAATCATGTGCAGGTTGAATTATAACATTTATATAGCTAAAAGACAAGCTAAGATGCATAATTGAGAAAGTTATTACCTGGATCTTTTGACCAACGAATTCCAGTCGCTCGAAGCAAAACCGTGGATGCTCAAATTTGTACATGGATGGGTGCAAGAAACAGAGCTGTATTTTGTAAAGAGGAGGAAAATTCCATTAGGAAGATGCTAATGCACATTCAATCAAAGTTGTGAGCCTGGCAAAAAAGAACATATTTCCCAATAACAGTAGATACATAGTTGTGCAGAAAGTTATGTAGGCCTTGAGCTTGTATGAGTATGCATAAATTAATTGCTATATCTTAGGGTGTTGGAGTAAGCTGCAAGAAGGACAACATATATAAAACCTGTAAGCCAAGTCCAAGTTCTATGTTCCTAGCTTCAGTGATCTCAGGTATCCTATCCGCCATTGCCAAGGGATATCCAAGTGTTTTCATGACTTGTTGTCTACAATCATAATCCCATATATTCCCACGAAACCGATGCAGACCAGGTGGAACACATGCCCTGAAAAGCCTTGGGTGCGCAAAAAGAGCATCTTCTGGAGGCTGTGAACGGGAATTTATGAGTTGATAATCCATCTTCAGAAGAAAAATATATGTCCCTTTCAATAAGCTATTGCCAACATAAGGAAAACACATTGTTTCTAGAAAAAACTGAAAGTCAAGAGAAGGCGTTAGCATTCTAATCTCAATTTGGAATTATTCCACCTCGGATGGATAGTCATGTTCAAATAACAATATACTAGTGTGTCCAGGCTTCATTTCCATTTTGATCTTTTAGTTACCATCACTTTAAGCTATTAAAGATGCTTATTCCCAGTCAATTAAGACTAGTATAGAAAGTGGGTCCAAACAACCTTGATTGAGTATATTAGAATTATTAGTTGTTCAAACTATGAATATCTATCCGATGTAGAAAAATTCCAAATCACAAATGTTCCCAAACAATTTCAGTATTCCAATCATTACCATGTGATTGGGGAGCACTATTGTTCATTCCACAAAAAATTAGTAGCACAGGATGTTGAAGAACAATCTTGTCCAGTTGGTTTGTGCACAAACACTTCAGCTGATTTCACTGATTCCTTTGAATTTCTTCATTTTTCAGTTTCACAAAAATTTTGCTCTTTCTTACATTGCTTTCGGAGCCCATCTAAGTGATGTGTGTGTTACAAGGACCTATCAATTAGTTAAACTTAAGAAAGAAAAAGCTTTTTGAGTCATTCGAAGGATTTCACTATGTAAAAGGCTTTGGACGAATTTCAAGGTACTACTTTGGTTCAGAAAAGATGGAAATGTAATAACATAAAACCCTTTTAAAGAGAACTCCAGGATGAAGCTCCCGCATAATATTCTTCTTATTGTAAGACTAAAGTAAATATAATATCGTCAAACTGAAAAATAATTAGTGCTTACCCTATAAGAAGCAACATCCTGCCAGTTCAGCTTTCTACTTTCAAAATCCACAGAAACATAGTCTACATCTTCAAGCTGTCTCCTCAGTTTAGGTTGGCAGTCTTCAGCCTCAGGGTCCATTCCAAACACTTCAAAAAGAACACGGTATACTTCTGGCATGCCAAAACACAAATATATTGCCCCAAACAAGGCCCAAAATACAGATCTGCCAGGATAATATTTGTAGCATTATCAATATGTAAGTAACTTTTCCATGACCAACTACATCAAATAACATCACTAGATTAAACTGAAATAAACTCTGCAAAGCACGCAATGCCGGCCAAGTTGTAGGTTCACCTCAGAAATTGATAAATATTCAAATTTATTTATGGAACTTGGACATTACGTAAGGGACGGCAGCTCACGAATGCACATTATATTATTTGCAGAGTCAATCCAACAGCCTAATTCAATAAATGATATAAAATAAAAAGAATTGCAGGAAGATGCATATATTATCCTCACATGTAATTTCAATTACTAAAGAAGCCTTATAACCCTTCTTCAAAAGCATATTATGCACTTATTTTTTCTGGGAAATGGGAGGCAAAAGTAAAACCATCCAACTGTCACCACATGTACAATTATAACCAATATTATGCCACGTAGTCATATGCATAGTAATAATTCCACGGTTTACATTTTCCAATAGCACTATTGAATGTGTATGCATTTAGCAAAATATTATCCATCCTAAAACAACCAAATTGTTATTTATATGCTGCATAACAATCTGTTACATGATCTTCACGAATTCATCATGTAATCATTTGACTGAGCAATTCTTGTATAGCAGGACAGCAAAAGTAACATGATAGAGCTTTCCCAACAAGTAAGCACTGCCACCCACACTCCAAAATATTGACAAAGGACGAGGCTAAGAATACATATGCACATAACTAATTTCTTACTTCATTAGCCTCGAGCCACACCATTATAAAACTCCCATCAATCCAGTTATTTTACCTGAGAGTGATTTCCTTCATTAAAACCCATAAATCAATCTTCCACGTTTTTCACATAATCCTTGCAGCGTGAGTTCTTCACTCGTCAGTTCATGTAATTAGTTTTAGTGTACCAAGAAGCTGATGGAACTCGGTCCTCCATCGGAATTGGTTAAATCATAAGTTGGAACATGACTCTTATTAAGGGTTGTGAGTCTTGGAAACAGGTGTTAGAAAAAGGTATATTAGACTTGTATGTAAATAGGCATTCATGTACAAATTTTAGGTGTGGTGAATATTTAGAAGTATAGCGTAGGTTCTCAGAGTTCTTGATAATTGGAAACGTACCAACTACATCCCTTCACAAGAAATGAAATGCGTACACATTAAATACCTTCTTGAATCTTCAACGATGGCCAAGGAATACTTTGTATGTCCAGCTCCAACAATGTAAGAGTGGACTTATTTTAACACAATGAAGCCCGTCCTATAATGTGCCACTTATTATGTGTATTATACAGCATGCTCTCACCATCATTCTTGATCAGGTGTGACATGTAATTATGTGCAGTCATACGTCTAATATGTAGATTTTTCCAAGTATTTCTTATAATCATTCGTACAATGCATAGAATAGCATAAAGTAACTAATAAACCCCCAAAAATAAAGACCATCACTTACTTCACTGGCGGTTCTCGATCCTTTCTAATCAACTTATCCATATCATCGTATGGGAAAATCAAATTCTGCAAGCTAGCAGCTTTTATCCACTTGGGCAGAAACCTTTTCCCTATCAAAGCATACACTCTCTCCCTCATTGGCCCCGGTGACTCCCTAGGATACCTCTGCAAGAAAAACTCACACAATGCCATCTCGAGCACATACTGCCCCAAGAACCACAACCTGGAATGCCCCGACCTCACATGGCGAGCATTAGTCCTCTCGCAGTGGGGATGCTGAAATGCCAGATACAACAATATGTCGAACTGCTTAGCCGGATTATCATCTCCATAATTCTCAGAAGGCTCTAAAGGGTAACCTAAAGCCTGCTTGGTTTCAAGCAAGTACTCGTCCATCCACGTTTTATCTGCATTGTTTAACCGGGAAGAAGGCAAGCAAGAACTCAACAAAGGGAAGGATTTTAGGGTTAATTGCGGGCTTTTGAGGAATCTTTCAGCCAGTTTCGCATCATCAAGTGGGGGCTTGAGAATGAATCTCTTCGGGGGCGGTTTTTTCTTGGGGGAGACTACTTTCTTGCGCTCTGCTAGCTCTCTCAAAAGTCTTTGAGGGCTGTTTCTTGGGAGCTCTTTTGGGTCTACAGCTACTGCAAAAATTCGAAAGTTTGTTGCAATATTGGGGGTTTTGACGTGGGTTTGGAAGGGGAAGGATGAGAACGAAGAGGAGAAGGAGATGTCTACCGAGGAGTGTGGTTTAAAAGATGAACAGAGCTCCATTAAAGACGATAAAAGATGAGATATTTACAGGCGGTTCTGAGTTAACATTGAGAAGCAATTTTTTTATAGGATTGGTTTGAATGTGGAAGCCGTTGAAGGAGGTTTTTTGCAGGGTTTTGGAACAGGAATCGGAGGGAAGGAGGAAATGGGATAAGGTGAAAAATGGATTTGCTAGCAGCCGCAATGAGATGCAGATGTTTTTTTTTTTCTTTTTCATTTTCCCAAATTGAGTGAGAAATCAGTCTAGATGCAGGGTAATTTGCATGATCCGTCCCCAGTCTTTGGGGCCAGTTGCAAAATAGTCTACATACTCCTATTTTTGCTCCTCAAGCTCTCGTTTTAGTTATAACTTCAGTGGTGACGTTGAATGTCCTGACTATGTACGAGCTTCATTTTGCCATACCTATTTGCAATGTCATTCTTAATACCGTCAATCTTTGCCCCGATGCACATAAGATTTTGGAAACATTGATTTCATTATTTCTATTCCTTGAAGCTCGTTTCAGTTGATTGATCATGGATTCCGTCATGACAAGGTTTGGTTTTGGGGTGGGAGGTTAATCGATAGCAAGAGAGAGTGAGACAGGAAAGAGTGATTGTAAAATATTTTAGGGGTTTTTAGAAGTGTACTTAGTTAAATTAAAAAAAAAAAGTGCACTTAATTTGTGAAATTATTTTAAAATTACATGATATTTCATCTTTTAAATTTAACAATAGTATCATATTACCTCTACAAACTAATACAATGCTGCAAACACAAAGAGAGGGGTCTAGACAAACTAGCAGTTAGAAAGTAGCAGGGTCTAAAGAAACAAAAGCCCAAAAAAATCACCGGGAAAAAAAATTGCAAAGCATTCCCCCGTTGCCAGTTGGTGGAAGGTAGGGGCTGATGCTACAAAATATCTGCACATCTGAGCTTGACCACAAGGAATGAGCACGAAAATGAGCTTCAATACCTGAAACAAATGTGTCCATGATCTATATCTAGGATATCCGAGCTTGACGATCGAGAATGAGCACAAACAGACTCTCTAGGACTTGAAACAAAGGCAACGAGGTGTGGCATCTTCGTCCCTCTGATGCTTAAGTTAGTGAGATGAGAAAATATAAGCGTAAGACTATAAATTGAATGTAAAAGCGTACCCGAATAATGATTCATGGTTTTGTATTTATAGAGGTAGTTAGTACACTCCTAGTAGGATTAAGTAATTCACTTCTAGTAGGATAAATTAATTGAGCATCCTTATCTAGTTAAAGAGTTGTGAAGTGTTTGAGAGTTTTTCCATACTTAGGAGTTGTAATTTGATTGGAATTGTGAGATAGTGTGTTTGGATAAACATAAAGCTTTAGTGAAAAGTCCTGTTAGATTGTTGACATTAGTGGTTTCGTTAATGGACTGAATCACCTCATCGGGGTTATGCACACTACCTAGATGTGCCTCAACGCTCACGATCGATGAAAAGTAGGTGAGAGTTCACTCGTCGAGGGGTGATCTTCGGGATACTAGGGCTTCAAGCCCAATCTCGAGTTCTATCATACGAGCCCGATGATGCTCTGGCCTTATAAAAGTGCTTGAGATCATCATGACCTCGATCATGAGGTCGTAGACAGTAGGATCATACAAAAATTGTACACATCATGGGCCTATAGATTTTGCGGGTCCAATCTCTCTAGGTTGAAAACTGCAAATCCATACATTGAGTTTCACACCGAAGTTTCAGTTGAAAAAAAGCGACAATTGGATACAACGTGGACTGTAGTCATCTGCCTATCACATGACTTCGATTTTCGTTTGTGAAAATGTCTCCTTGTGGAATTCTGGTCTTCCAATAAATTTTTTTTTTCACTTTAGTAAAGCCCTCTTTACCTTTTGATTCATTCATAAACATAACCACCTATGAAAAACATGGACACGCATTTGTGATATACCATGTACAAAATCTCTCATAGCTAGATTTTTCTTATTTTTAGGCCATTTTTATGTACTCTCTCATGTTCTAAATTAATGCTGGAAGGATTTAATGTTGCATTTTTATGTAAACTTTAATAAGCATTCCCTTTGCACTGTTGATTGTTGGTGAAAATTCTTGCGAGTAAATATATCGATTTATTTTAAAGGACACGTGACTGGATTAAGTAATTTGATTCAACCAAGGAACTAAACAATGATGAGTTGTATTTGAATTCCTTATGCTATTTCGATGTGAAAATATTAATGTTGAGTTCTGTTAGGTGGATCATTTAAATCCACTCGGCACGTGATTATTGGTCTTGACACTTTGAAAGGATTGTTCTAATTAATGTGTATTATGGACCATATATTAAATTTTATGGTTGGATTTAATCTAGTTGTTAATTACCCTACTAGTCATGTCTCTTTCATAGTACAATATTTGAATTTGAATTCAAATGGTTTTTGGCTCTATAATTGCAAGACTCATTCACTTGTTTCACTTAGACTTGGCAAAACATTGTAGAGAAAGCATAGAGAGGTAGCTAAGTGGAAGAGATTCGTATCTCCAACGAAATTCTTGGTGGCCTCGGACGGATTCTTCTCTCGGTATATCAATTGTCATTTTCATGGACGACGGCGCATAATCCAGTGTGGTACAAATCTGAGCTCAACATCATAGGACACTTCATTGGTGGTGTTGAAGAAACTTTAGGTCGATTGGGTCGATTTTTTTTTACATTTTGAGAGTTTATGTTTTAGTATTGTCGTTGTAATAATCGTTTGTACATTACATATAAACACTACAAATGTTATCATAGCTTAGACTAGTGGTAGAAAGTGTTATAAGAACCCGAAAATCATATTTAAAGTAAAAAATGTTCGATTTTGTTCAAAAACAAGTTCAACTGAAACTTCAAATCCATTTTCTAGAAAAACCAGCACATGTCGGACGAACGAAGACCACCACCGAATCTAGACAACGAGCAGAAGTTGTCGATGACGTGCGCGGAACACATGCACCGTCGATGAAAGCGGTGCATGAGCACCACGCGCAGACAAAGAGGAAGTGCGTAAGGAAGATCAGCTGGAGGTGAAAATGACAGTTTGTTCCTTGAGCAGTTTCTGACCTCCTGCTGGTGTTGGGTTTCAGTTTGGTGCACTGTGGAAATAGTATAGCCTCGGGAAGAAAGGTGAAGTGAAGAAATCTTTTCCGTTGGCAACTCGATGGTGTTTCCTGGGGTTGTAGCAGTTGTTGGATAACTTATGGCAGCTAGTGGAGGCCCTAGATCGATAAATACTCGTATCTTTCCTTAAAATTCGAATCAATAGATTGGTTCGCTCGGTTTGTCCATTCTAACACCCTCTCAAATTTACTATTGAGATATTGTGTTATTTGCAACCATATTGCTATTTGACTCTTATGATATTGTTTGTGTTACTTGTTGTAATATCATCGCTTGTGTCATCTTGAAAAGTAATTTATACATAAATAGGTTTGAGTTCGCATTTGTGTGTGACTTTGATTAAAAACCATTTTCGAAAATCATTGTTTTGTGACTATGGCCACCCGAGTTGAATTGTCGTAATTCAACGATAAGGAAAATCATTCCAATTGGAAGCAAAAAATGAAAACTATTGTAATCCAACAAAGAGTTTTTAAAACTCTTTATGACCCGAAAAATACTATATGCATTAAAAGCTAACCGGATAAAATTACTAAGACGAATAAAATTGCACATAGTTTGATTGTATTACATTTATCTGATGATGTTTTTGGACAAGTTGAACAACATAAGAATGCAAAAAAGTTGTGGGAAGCACTGGACAAGCTATTTTTGGAAAAAATATCTTCCAAACAAAATACATTTGCTTCAAAAACTTTTCAATTTTAAGTTGGACCTGGGAAAGGATCATGAATCCAATTTGAGTGACTTTAACAGGCTTGTCAAGTGTTTGGCCCACGATGATAAGAAATTTGATGATGAGTATCTAGCGGTTATACTTTTGAATGCTACGCCCGAATCCTCTAGAGACGTTAGAAAATGTTATCACGTATGCTCGGGATACTTTAACCCAAGTTATTGTGACTGATGCTTTGAGGGCTATGGAGCTAAAGCTTAAGAAATAGTCGGGGGTAGTTTGAGAGAAGAGAGTTTGTTTGTTAGAGAGTGGAATGAGATGAGGAAGAGCTACTTTCAAAGTAAGAAGGACAGAGGAAAATCGAAGAGTAGGTCTAATTCTAGTGATAAGAGTGGTAAGAAATGTTTTCATTGTAGTGAGATATGACATTTTTAGAGAGATTGTAATGACCTTAAGAAGAAACAGAGACCGTAGCAGAGTGATTATTAGAATTTAGTTGTTGTAGGTGATTTCCTTGATTGTCTACATGTTATGACTGTATCGGGAGATTTTGACACTGATGTAGATCATGATCGTGATAACATACATGTCATGAAAGGTCCCAAGATGAATGGGCTATATGTCCTTCAAGGTGAAGCCTTAAGTAGCAAAAAGTCGTCATTATCTTCAGTCTGTGAAGATAGATCAGATCTTTGGCATAAGAGGATGGACACATTGGGAACAAGGGGTTAAAATATCTTAGTGACCATAATTTGCATGGTAACGATAGTGTTACACTTTTGAGTTTTTGTGAGATGTGTGTTTTAGGAAAGTCACACGAGGTGAGCTTTGGGATAGGTGAACACAACACTAAGAGACCATTGAACTATATTCATGCATATTTGTGTGGCTCTACAAAAATATCTCACACATGGAGGGAACATATTTTTTTTTGTCCATTGTTGATGACCACTCGAGGAAAGTTTAGATATATCTCCTTAAATCCAAATCTGATACTTTTAATAAGTTTAAGTCATGGCTTGCCTTAGTTGAAAATCAAATGGGAAAAACTCGAGGAAAGTTTAGATATATCTCCTTAAATCCAAATCTGATACTTTTAATAAGTTTAAGTCATGGCTTGCCTTAGTTGAAAATCAAATGCGAAAGGGTGTGAAAACTCTTAGAGGACAGACAATAGTTTAGAGTT